TTTATCTTATAGATATTCAAGTTGGGTTTTTTTGTGAAACTTAAGTCATATGAATGAATTAGAAAACAACTGTACGGAAAGCTTGGGGCGGCACTGACTTGTCTGTAAACATTGGCTTCTAAATAAAAGCGTCCAAGACTGTAACAATAACAATGAACAGCAGGAAAGTCAAAAGACAGATAGAGAGTATATATACAACAAGAGCTGTCACAGGAGACAGCGAAGCTCGACTAATAAAATACTGGACGCAGTAAGGAGGACAAAACTATGAAAGAAAAATCAATTATGTATAATTATGTATTAAGTTATAGTAAAAAAATAATATTTGTTAACATAAATTCCAAGATCAAGGGGAATAATTCTAGAAATAGTCATGCTAGAGTTATGGACCTTGTCACACAACAATTGTGTAATGATAAGAAATATATATTTGAAGTTTGAAGTAGATACCTTAAAAAGTAAAGAAGTTATTATATTTCTTAAAGAAAATCCTAAGTTCAAAGAGAGATAAATCTGTAAATATTGCTTCAAGAGTTATGAACATTGTCACATAAAATATAATTGATGATAAGGAATAAGTATTTGAAGTTTGAGGTAGATACCTTTAAAAATAAAAAAGTTATAATAAAAAATAACATTTTTCTAGTAAAAAAATCTAAGTTTATGGGGAGATAATTCTTGCAATATTGGTGCTAGAGTTATGAACCTTGTCACATAAGATGTGGATGATGATAACGTAAATATATTTGAAGTATGAAGTTGATCCCTTTAGAAATAAATAAGTAACAGTAAAAAATAGTATTTTTTATGGAAAATTCTAAGTTCAAAGGGAGATAAATCTGAAAATATTGGTGCTAGAGTTATGAACCTTGTCACATAAGATGGGGATGATGATGACGTAAATATATTTGAAGTATGAGGTTGATCCCTTAAGAAATAAAGAAGAAACAGTAAGAAATAGTACTTTTTGAGGAAAATTCTAAGTTCAAGGGGAGATAAATCTGAAAATATTGGTGCTAGAGTTATGAACCTTGTCACATAAGATGGGGATGATGATAAGGTACATATACTTGAAGTATGAAGTTGATCCCTTAGGAAACAAAGAAGTAACAGTAAAAAATAATATTTTAAAGGAAAATTCTAAGTTCAAGGGGAGATAAATCTGAAAATATTATTGCTAGAGTTATGAACCTTGACACATAAGATATGGTTGATGATAAGAAACATACATTTGAAGTTTGAAGTTGATACCTTAAGAAATGAAAAAGTTCTAGTGAAAAATATTTTACTGCACCAAAACTTTAATCTAAAATCTGGACGCGGACGTGGACGCCGACGCCGACGCCGGAGCGAGTAGGACAGCTCTCCATATACTTCGTATAGTCGAGTTAAAAATGGCAATATGAAGACGGCAATTGGAACACCTCGGCTATCATTCATAATAACGTTATCCGAAGTTAGACGGAAAGGTGCGAAAATGATGTGATTGTGAAGACGAAACTTTTGAAACGGACTGTATATCGTAATTTTCTTGAGGTACAGGTGACATATAATGGTATAAAACTTTGTGAGCCATATATAAGAACATGATTATGAAATAAGGCTCCCCTTTGCCGATGATTTACGCCGTGGTAGGTATCGTCATAAAATTGTCCCGCTTGTCAACTGTGATTTATGAATGGGGGAACCTACTGTGATGGAACTTGCTTACAATATCACTTAATAAATATTTATAAGACAAAAATAACAGAGTGTTATATATTTTGAATAAATATAATTTTCTCGCATGGACTAGTTTAAAGAAAATTTTAATACAACATCTATAAAGACGAAAGATTAAAACTAAGGAAAAATCACGTCTCTTACGTTAACACTAAAAGTGCCTTTTTAAAGTTATAGGTTAATTTAGTGTCAACAGTATATTTTACGCTTTATTTTTCATGTTGTAATAATAGAAGTTATACTTGTTTTGTTGTTGTTTGTGTTTTTATTGATTGATTGATTTATTTATTTTGTTGTTGTTTCTTTTATTTTTGGTCGCTTTTGTCGTTGTTTTTATAGTATTTTTAAAAGATTAAAATATATTTCGTACGACAACCTTCATTCTTTCTTTTTCAAGATAATGTTGGTCCCAGAAGATACTAACTTTGTTCAATGCTGTCTTATTATTGTTATCATGTTATAATAATAATAATAATCATAATAATAATAATAATAATAATAATAATAATAATAATAATAATAATAATAATAATAATAATTTAGTTTCATTGTGAAAAAAAACAATAAGCTTATAGTCACAACTCTGTCATGGCTCCCAAGCTGTTGCAGATATTATTATCTTAATTCTGAAAAAGAAATGTCGTCTGCTAAAAATGTCGTCTGTCATTTATTTCTAATTCTATTTAATTTTCCCGAGATAAGTAAATAAATAAATGGTGACTTCCGAACAGCTGGTCCTTCTCTATACTAGTGATCAAGGCTAATTACTCCCAGCAGATCAACGATTAATGTATACATATTCGCCCCTTTTTTAAAGTAAAAAAATATTCGCCCCTTTTTTCGCCCCTCTGCACGAATAAAAAAAATTCTACAAAATATCAATTATATCTTATCAAATGCATAATGTTTATATTACATTGATGATTTGGACAAAAATTTACTTTTTAATGATTTATGATATTTTTCACACGATCATGAAATAAAATTGTCCTTCTTCATATAAATAGTTGGTGTAATTAAAACAACTGGTGTTTGTATGAATTTAAAAACATCGGGTTTCTGTTTTCTATATTCAGCTAAACATGCATATCTCTCCGTTTTCTGCCTTGAAGAAAATTTAAGTTGATAAAAAACATAGAAAATTTAGCATTTTAGATAAAGATTTCCTGGTCTTTGAAGACGCATTTTACATGTTGATAGACACAAGGATCTGTAGCATAATCACGTGATATATCACGATAAAACATGGCTTATCATGCATTCTAGTTGAAGAAGAATTTACACGATGCTTCTCTAATCTGTCAAATACGACTTAATTTGTAGATTTTTGACTGATAAGCCACCAATTGGCGCACTTTCATCATGCCGCCGTGACGTCGTACAGTCTACTGAACATCGGTGTTTGAGACCATGCTGTTTTTTCCTAACTGCATGAATTTGTCCGTTGCAATATCTAACATTTTTTTTTGATTAATTCGAATATGACAATTAAAGTAAAATATGCGTTTCGCAGCTCATGTGTTTTTCTATACTACTGTTACATTTACAGACCCTGAGCCGAAAAGATCCAACAATGTAAAACAATTATCATGAAAGACTTGGATAATACGAAAATAGCATATCCTTACTATCTTGTGTGAACACGGGCAGTATTTCAAACTTACTCATACAAAAAATCTGATTGCATTACCATCTTTTTTAATTTGTAACTAAATTCCAGTTTCCAGATGGACTGGTTTCTTTTCCAACACTAAATTGTTTGCTCTTGTGACGCCGATAATTGTCCGTGTGGTGAACTTGAGCTATCTGTTTGCTAAAAAAGATTTTAAATTAACAAACTTAAGGCGTGCGGAAGACGACTTCATTTAATATTCAAATAGGTTGAGGCAAATATAATCACAATTTAGAAAAGTCTGTATACATGTATACGAGTAGTGTTTGTTTGCTTTTTTGCAAATTGTTTGGTGGGGGAGAGGACATAATTTTAAAGTAAAACTTGAATGAAATGCTGCAAAAACCATCGACATAATACCCGACCATATGACATAATACACAATCTTATCACATGTCTTTCCTTGTTTTCTATGTAATATAATAAGTAAAGTATTTCTTTATATTGCTATAGACATATAAAATTACACACTTGTATGCTGATTTATGATATGATGCCCTAATATCAGATCACATAACATGATACCTGACATGACATGATATCAAATTGTATGAAATGATATCCGATCATAAATGCATGCTGGCCTGGCTCTATACAGGCTATAAAGGCTAATAGCAATTTTATATAAAAGCATAAGCAAAGAAAAAATATTCATTTAGGTCATTTATATATAGTTCGTAAGAATAATCTCCCTTTAACTAGTCGCTGACATGCGTTCAAGACAGTGCACTGCACTCTTATAGTTCCAGTATATAGGTAAATACTAGACAAGGTAAATAAGAAAAGGTCTTTATAAACAAATGCTATACCTGGAAGTGGACAAGGACAGCTATATATATGAATGAGTCAGGTGAAGTAACATTTGAATAGTTAAACAGTGCAAACAACTATGAAAAAGAGATTTTTTTTTTTTGGGGGGGGGGGGGGGGGGGGGACCTGTAACAGACTGAGAGACATGTCTTATGGTGATAGTTAATTATAAGTGGCATTTAACAATTACAAAGACGATTGTAAGTGTCTACTTTAAGAGCACAATTTCAGCTACTTTGGCGGGAAAGGAAATTTAAGGTAATCCATAGTAATATTGACCCCTAGATCGGTTACTATTATATCGATTTTAAAGTATTCTGTGGAGAGAAATCATATTCAAATACATGTATAAGAATGTAAAAAATCAGATGTAACTTGGTATAATGCTCATTCTGTAAAATCTGCTTTACGGTAAGGAACCGAAAAATTTTAGCGGTCTAAAAAATCAATAGTGCATGAATCCTGAAATTGTAAAAATAATATGGCTGATGGACATCAGTAAAAAGAAGAAACACATTTTTGAAAGATTTTGTTTATTATAAAGGTTTTATTTATTATAATATGGGCGTCTATTTATTTACAATTTTTCTTGAAATGACCTATTTTGCTATGTAGAATATTTCTACGTGTTATATAATATTTGGCTTACCTTAAAGTCCCTGTCTGCATTTCGTATAAAATAACAATTTATTTGTAAATTGTCAAGGTACAATTTAGTATAAACTTGTGCAAAAAATAATGAAGAATAGTATTGTATTTTACGATAAACATAACATATGTAAAAGTATTTTTTATATTTCTTTTCAGTCTTATATCGTCGACGGTCCGCCTGTTGGTTTGTTTCTGTCGACAATGTGCGTATGAATACGTAAATAAAGTTATCAGTCGCCTAATTTGCATAGTTAGATTGCATGGCCAGAGAGTTTAAACCATATTTTCCATATCGCGCAGTTTACTTTGCTTGTCATGACCAAGGCAATTGCCGGAATCCTAATGTCATCCGTGTCAGCATCTTCATTTATAAATAGTTCCAATAGGCCTATTTTTCCAGAATTACTACGAATTTAAGAGGCAACACGTTACATGTATTTCATAGATTGATAAATAGACTGGACATATCAGTATTTTTCTTTGACACTATACTGTTAATTGATAAGTAAACAAACTATCCAATTCGTATGAATGGTAAACATAAACATAAGAAATCATCCACTTATATCCAAAACATAGATCGCAAAGTGTTGCCCGTAAAACTAATTGAAGAACTTAATGTGACGTCACAGAGGTGCTGGAGTATCTTGATCTGCATAGGCCCAACTGGCGTCGGCAAGGTAAAATAACGTCGTGTGCTCGCGTGATGCGAGTTTTCTTCTTATGAATTTATCTCTGCGAGTGCATTTTTTTACAAAAAAAAATTAGCTCAGGTACTCTTACAGGCAAACAAAAGTAGATCTACTGAGTATTGAGTAATATATGTAACACAAAAAAATACATGTAATCAAAATAAAATCCATATTTTTCATAGCCGCTGTGATGTTTTTGCTATGGTGTACAATCGGGGTCTTCTGTATCGCAGTAGTTTTCCTTTTTCAACAAATCTGGTTTTGTCATTTTTACAAGTTTAGGCAATAAATTTGTCCAGAAGTTATAACCCCTTTCAAATAATCGCTGTCCGACCGACATCTCCCTACTGATGTTTAGGTAGAGTTGACTTTCTAAGGTATATTCAGGCCATTCAATATTGATGCGCTCAGGCTTGTTTGGATTACTGTATCAAAAATGTGGGAGTATGTTAAAATACATAAATATTAACAAAACCTGGGAATGTTGAATAAGTAACATATTCAACAGTGTAGCAATAATAAAACATCTTCATAAATTTGCTCTGAGTATTAAAAAAGTCAGTCACCTGTTATATGGCAAGTGAATGCCAGTTAAATAAACAACAAACTAATTTAAACCGTATTTAAGAAAATAAAAAGTTTTATACTTTACCCGCTTTTTGCGAAGTTTGTCCACATTTTGATTACTTCTTTTGAGAGTTCTATTTCCCATTTCTGTGGTTCAACCCCATAAGGACTTGTTGCGCTAGTATATCCGTTCTCCGAATCGTACCCTAAAATAAACACCCACTCATCAGCATGTACTGAACCTCCTTTCCACGTGGATGGTACCCACAAAAGATGCTGGGATGAAACCGCATTAAAAAGGTACAGAAATGTTTTTGATTTATCATTATTTTCAGCATGTATCTTCGTTATGTCAATAGTGTGGCTGTTGAAAACATAATCAGAACTCAGCCGTATGAAAGATTCGTAAAGACGCTCAGTATCGTCAGGATTGTTCCAGTCCGTGTATTCAAAACTAACAACAGAATTTATAATATCTGGAATATTGTCACCAAACATAAGACGCATGGTTTCTGGAATATACTTGTTTTCCAGTTGTAACCTGTCAACAGAAAATGTGTCTGTGTTATCAACGCCTACAATTGGAGTTATCATCATGAAACCTTCATCGTCCATGAGTCCCGTCATTACATCAAAGCTGCGGAAAAAATCTCGCCTGGCTTTTGCTATATCTGAATCGCTATGCATTAAGTCCCAAGAAGATAATGGAACGAATTCGTTGTCAACAGAAACAACAAAGTCCAAGGGAAATTTTCTGAAGCCATTCAGTGGATTATTCATTACTTTCATATACTCTTCATCGGGAATATTTCTTAGACAAGATGCAAGTTGGAAGCTATCTACGTCAGTTGGACATCCTACTAGATTAGCTATACGTTTAGCATTTTGTAATGAATCTCGCTGATAAACCCAAGGGCATGTTATGCTCCCACTCTGGGGAATAATTCTCTTAATCAGTCCTTTGTTTCCTGGATACATTGCTTGGAATATCACACTTGCCCCGCCTGCCGAACCTCCAAATAATGTCACTTTATTAGGGTCTCCACCGAACGCTGCAATATTTTCGTGAACCCATCGAATAGCCATATGTTGGTCCCAAAGGCCGTAATTTCCGGGTAAATTTGAATCACCGGTGCTCAAAAATCCAAATAAGCCTAACCTGTAGTTAATACTTACAACAATAACGTTACCATATGTACTTGTTATATGTCCAGGATACATAGTAGATGTCCCTATAGCAAAACCTCCACCATGGATCAGAATCATTACAGGCAACTTACTGTTTCCGTCTAGATTATCCGGAGTAAAGATATTTAACACGAGGCAGTTGTTTGATGACTCCGGTAAACCAGTTTCTGATGCTGGTTTCCGCTCCCCTAAAAGATCGAATGGCAGTTGTAAACAAGAGGGTCCATATTTTGTGGCATCATACACTCCATTCATTTTCTGTTTCATTTTAGGTTTCTCAAAACGAAGAGCACCTATAGGTGGCTCGGCATAAGGTACTCCGAGAAATTGTCGTACACGAAGAGGATCTCCAAATGGCTCGATTGTCCTCACCTCTCCCATTATAGAACCAATTTTTGTTTCAACAGTTATCTCATCCATCGTCAACGAATATTTTATAAAAGAAATCACTAAAATTGAAAACATTATTTTCATTTTGACAAAAAGCATTTATCACACCGACATTGGATCGACTGAAAAGGTAAAACTGAATACATTTTGTAATAATATATAGCATTTCAGTATGACCCCATTACGTAATATTTCATGCAAGGTAATTTGTTTGTTTTGTAATAAAAAAGTATAATTATAATCATGCACGTGACATGAATATCATATTTTAAGACCACGGTTGTTTTGAATTGACCCAACATTTCCTTTATATATATCGTCCGGAAATGCTTGAAGGTTGTCTAATTTAGCTGCCAGTGCACGATTTTCTCGCGTTATTATAGACATTATGAAATAGAAAAATGGGCCTATGAAATTATTTTTAAGACAATATTTGATGTCAGAATCTTATCTAGTGCAGAAAGTAGTGTTGAATGTGAAGTAATTTAACATAAAAGTGCAAATGACGTAGTAAAGAAAAACTATGATAAAAATCAAATATGATATAAATATATTCTCGAATCCGTTCAGAACATAAAAGACAATGGGAAAAATAAGCATCAAAGAGAAGATAGCTAGAGTTGTAAACCCGTTCATACATGAAATGATTCACGACAATAAACAATAATCTTAAGTCTACTAAAGTAGAAACCGTTAGTAACAAAGAAAGAAATAAAAACTGTAAACAATTGTCAATAAGTTCAAAATGGAGCTAATTACTACACCTTAACTAAATGTTATCATATCTAAGTTTAATGGATATCTCTGAACAAAAAGAGTTTGAGAAATTTCTACAAATTGTAAGTTTAAAGAGGTAGCTAAAAGTATTAGGGCTAATATAAGGTACTCCAAAGAATTTTACAGGCAACTGATCTCCAGAAAGCTGTTAAGTTCCCCCTTCTCCCTTTATAAAGCATTTGAATATTTATAAAATATATCTAATTTTAGTAAATTACATTGAATAAGACAGACTTATGGTCAAGGACATCATTGTGTAAATGAAATGGCTATTAACGCAACCTTTCGTGCATTGTCATATGTGTATCTTGTAGTAAACAAAAAGTTTTATTCATAACCACGTATACATTTTGTATTTTCTATCAGAATATTCAATGTCATTTCCATCTTTATTTGATATCTACCAATTTTAAAAGTACAATGTAGTAGTTTTTGCCAAAGAACTATCCTTAAAGGCCCGAAAAGCGCAAAACGCCTATTTTATTTCTTAATAAGTTTAGTTAAGTTTCCTTTATGGTTCTCATTCGCTTACAAACCCTATAACAAGTAGAGAAACTGATAGCGAACAGCATGGATCCTGATCAGACTGCGCGGATGCGCAGGCTGGTCTGGATCCATGCTGGTCGCAAACCCATTATGTTGGTTTTGTCGTGACGCGGCTCAAATGTAGAGGCGCATGAAAAGCAGAAATTAAATTTCTGGTTGTCTGTTTGATTGGTTAATCATTATTTGCATTCTACATGTAACAAATAAATAAATATAAATAAATAAATAAGATATTTAAACTTTTATCGTATATGTTTCTATGTGAAATTTTTAAGTCCGGAGGCAACGCTATTTTGACCACTTTGGAAATAATATAAACATCTGTTAAAGGCTTTTATTCAATTTACATATGAATGATCTTGCGTTATTCTTGAAATCGCTCGGTGTTGGTTTAAACAATATTTTTTTCAATAAATTGATTTCATAATATATCATACAAAGTACACAAGAATAGTTACAGAGCGATTTTACATTAAAACTAAACTAAAATGTATACAGAAATTATTAGGTGTACTAAACATGTAAACTATCAGAATAGAGGAGAAAGCTAAAAGCTTGTGCTAAGCCTCGATTCTGACTATCGTGCTAAGCTGCCATGATGGTGTAATAATCTATATGTAATAATATTTTTGAGAAAACTACAGAGAAAAAAGATTTATAAATAAAAAATAAATTGTGCGTTGGTAGAGTGTAATTGAAACTTAAAAGTGTCAGGGGAGTATACAGTTCAGAAATTAATATTTAGCAAAGAACTTATGGAAGAAAGAAAGAATAGTTTATGAAAGGGTCAAGGGTCAAGTCCATGCCTAAGTGGGATTTTTATCACTTGAAACGACCTGTGTGAGAAATGTAATTTTGTACCTGTGTGAAAATGAATGAGTTAGTGTCATTGTCGGTGACCTGGATATGTTGGTCACCGGTCTTTAGTGATCATTCACTTTAGTTCAGCCCCCGTGCTGACCACTATAAGCAGGTTAGACTGTACTATATTAGAAATATTCAAGGTTGTCTGCTCAACATTTAATTGTGTTATGGAAAGTACAATATGTGATGAGACGTAATGATGCACTTTATCCCATGTTTCTTTAAGTCATACAGAAGATAAGAGCATTGAAAGCTAAATAATACAATTACCTTTACCTTAAAAAAATAGTCTATGACGATTTTGTTTATTCGTATGTGCCTGCACATCTTCTGTAGACAAGATCTATGGATTTTTATTCTCATTTTTGTTTGGTTGCTCATTTGCTAAAGATTACTTTCATAATCACATTTAGTCAAGTATTTTAGAAAAATCAATATTTAGCAGATAACCTTAAAATCACTAAATTTATGCAATGGACTTGCCATACTTTGAATTAGGAACTGTCCATTGTAACTAGTTATCAATACGAGATTTTCAAAATGTTAAAACTATGCAACAATGGAGTACATAAATGTGCAAGCTAGCATAATTATGCTTGCACATGCATGTGTTATCATTAAGGCTTCATACAAGTGTACGTGCGTGGAATACTCGTTAGTTGAACTGCATGTTGGAAAACACCGAAGTCATTCACACATCTGGTGACCTTGTCTTTTTGGGCGAGCACCATGTGCAATATATCATTTAAGTCATTTTGTAACATATTCTGCATGGCCAAGTAGAAACAGTGGGCTGTGAAAAATTGTGTATTTTTACGGAAAAACGTAGAATTCACAAACTAGCACGAGTTTCACATCTTTTATCATGCGGATATTTCGCTGCCCGCTTTCATTTACCTAGAATGGTAAACTCTTAGGTTTTGCACGAGATTAGCCACAAAGAAATAGGACAAATGAGAAAATGCCTGAAAAGTTCACCAACTTCATTTAATTAACGGTATTTAACGGTGACATTGATTACTTTGAGTATTTATAAAGTTTTGACATTTGCATAGTATAATCATCAGTGACATTAAAGAATAAAAGCTGATACAACATTGCATATAATAATCTGTTCTAGAACAAAATACATGCATCAATATTTATCATCAAACTAATACATCTAGTACTCCATTTGCATATTTCTTTTTCAACAAACTAGTCATAGATATCATGGATATGTCCAAAAGATCTATTTATTTTGTATTGTTTTTATCAAAATCTAAAATACTTATTGAAATAATATGCCCTTTGCTCTTTAAAAAGTCGAACAAAAACAGCAGGGTCTTTGGACAAAAACATGCAAAATGGTCAGAAGAATTAAAGAATACCAGATGTCTCACACTTCCGTTCATTTTTGTACGGTAAAATATTACTATTAAATTTGCTACTAATATTATCATGGTCACTTATACCCTTTGTGGATATATAAGGAGTTGTACATTCTATTCTATTGTAATTCATTGATATTTCATTGCCTCAAAGAAAAACGACCCTATTTACCAATGTTTAAATACAAATTTCCATTACAATCAAACATTTAAAAGTAACCAACAAACAGTGTAGGTTTTTTAACAACAATAAATGCTAGCTGCCACAAAATCAATTATGCAAAATGCAAATTTGACGCCGAATATTTCCACGTGTAATGGAATTGTTTTGAATATTTTAAATCTTTTATTTCGTGATTTCTGGCCTGATGAGCCTTTGTTTTGTGTAATGTATAGTTCTACAAAAGTCAAAGGTACGTTAGAAGCAAAAGATGTTTCAATTTTATCGCAAACTGGCTTTAGTTGATGAGATTGACATCGTCTTAGCCTCGTTCTGGTTTATTTTCTTATATACTATAAAATACAAAAAGATCTCCAAAAAGGCAAACCCATACAATAATAAAGTACGTTTCCAACACTAAGTCTTTCAGTATCAACTGTAATCGTTTTACATATTGGATGGAAAACTAAAGACAATTTATCACCGACTGTTTTTTGTAGATTAAACCTTTTATCAAAGCAACGACCGTGCTTATAAAACCACAGTCAATCTCTTGGGGAATAGCAAGAACTATTGGAATTTCTTACCCCTGTGGTTTTGTGCATGGGTGGTAACGAAAGAAATGAGCATTTTTTTACTCCCGTCTGTCCCCGCAATGTTGTGTCCATGTGGTGGTTTTGTTATGCCAAAACAGCCTAAAATACGTCCAAGTGGGGGCAGTTTCAAAGGCTTAAAAAAGTCCCCGCTATTCTCTGGAAGGTTGCGTGATGCATATTTAGAAACTTTGTAAGATAATATTTTTAATGAAACAGGAAAATGTTGGAAAACAAGGGAGCAATGATAGTCCTATATTGCTCACCTGATAATATACATGGACACAATTTCATTATAAGGTCATTCTTATTATCATTTCAATCAAATTAGTCCAGCATTTGAAAAGGAAATATCATTAGTTATATTTCTAAAATAAGCGCCCAGGAAGCCAACATGTTCAGCAGACAGTACATGATAATTTATACGATTTTGGATAACCACCGAAGTATAATTCCTATGGAATGTAATAAAAAAATCAAAAACAATTTTGTAAAAGACCAATAACAATATTTCCTGTAAAGTTTTAGTTATTCTTGTTTCTATATTTAGTTACAATAGCAACTACTCGGCCCTTTTAAGTCTTCGAAGGACCTCGAACACAATAGTATGAATACACAGAACGGATGCGGTATTTCGGTCTAACTTACGCTAAGAAACAAATAGTAATTTAATGCTGGAAGTTGTTGACAAGTTTATTTAAAATATTTGTTGTAAAAGTCCACCTTAAATAAGTGAATTCATAGCTACAAAAGCAAACAATACATTAATTACTTCTATATTCATTATTATAGATGTAGAAACCGAAAGTACAAAAAACCAACCTGTTGACATTAAGTCGGATTTGTTTAAAATTGTACATCAGTGGGCATATTTATATTACAAATTGTTGTCAGACATATTTTTAATCATAAGTGTACCGAAACAGACTTTATATTTCTTTTGGATGTCAAATTTATACATTCGTTTTACATTATCTCTGTTTCGATTACATCTGAAACCACGTGGTAGAACTACTTTCAATCCGAATTGTCCCCGAGGTTATTATAGATAATAGCCGAGGCAGTTCCGAATGTATTTAATTTTCGTGACCATCTTCTTCAGCAGACTGAAAAAGTAGCAATTTAGTACAGAACCACCTTATAATAATGCCTGTCAAGTTTAATCAATTCTGCAACATAGTTGAGATGTCATTAAAAGCATGTGGAAATTATTTGATGAACCACCTTGTGACAGTGCTCTGTCGGACATCTTGTTCAGCAGACCGTAACGATTAAAACAATATTTGTTAAGAACCATTAGTTATTATTCCTGTAAAGTAACATCAATAAAATCTATCCAGAGTTTGACATGTTGCCCAAAGCCTTTTTCTTTCTCTATTTTTAAGCTATGGCGAACATCTTGTTCAGCAGACAAGAACTATTTTAGCAATTTAAGTAAAGAATATCTGGTGACTATCTTAGTCGAGATTCAATGCAGATAGGACGTGTCGTTTAAAGCCTCGGTCTCACTTACTCCCGGCAGAGCCCAGGACCATCCCGGTAAGTTACCGGGATGATCCGGGATGAAATTATTGTTGCGGTCACACTTACCCCGGCAGCACTACGGTAGTTCCCTACTAACCACCCAGGATGCGCTCCGGATCATCCAGGCAGAGCCCAGGTGAAGCTACGGTTCATGCCGGTGCTTCCCCGGTCGTTCCCGGATGACGCCGGAAGAGCCCCGGTTGACCCAGGCAGAGCCCGGTCGATCCAGGCAGAGCCCCGGCAGAGCCCAGGACGATCCAGGCAGAGCCCCGGTAGAACCCCGGTGGATTGAAAACGCCCGAAAATGATAACTTTGATACATAATTTTTATTTAATATAATATCTATTGTTCCAGAATAGTAATTCATGATGATTTCCTGAAAAATCCTTATGCCATACTGGATAGAAGGGAAATGGGAAGGCTTTTAATACAAACAAGTTCAATCATCGCAAATTGTTCTTATTCTAATGAAATGTTCCGGGCTTTGCCGGGGCTCTACCGGGATCAACCGTAGCTCTACCTTTATCCTCCGGGGCTCTGCCGGCATATACCGGGGCTCTGCCGTAGCATCTACCGGGGCTATAACATAGCTCTACCGGCTATATCATACCCCGGATCATCCCCGGTTTTGTGCCGGCAGAGCTACGGTGCTTTCCCGGTATAACCCCGGTCGTTCCCGGCAGAGCTAAGGATGAAGCCGGCAAAGCTATACCTTCCCGGATCATCCCGGACCACCCCGGTGATATTAAATATTTTATTCCATCCGGGGTCGAATGCCGGATGTTCCCGGATCATCCAGGACGTTGCCGGCAGAGTTACGGATGTACCCCGGTTGTTCCCGGATCACCCCGGACGTCTACCGGGGCTCTGCCGGGATGTAAGTGAGACTGTAGCTTAAAGCTTATTTCTAGTGCAATCTTTTACCAGATGCAATAAAAACACCTGTAGGTTTAAACAAAATACACGTACATGTATATAGTGGTGAAAGTGTCTTTCTATTTTAAGGTCTAGCTAGCCGCCCTATTATTGAGGAGACCGGAACCACATGAGCAAGTTTTATATAGGGTCATCGTTATTGGTCAAGATGGCTAGTGAAAATGTTAACGACGTAAGACAGTGGCCGGACACAGGGTGATTACAAAACCTTGACCATGTTTTGCTCACGTGAATAATTTTGTTGAGTTTTAGGTAGCACTAACACAGTATAGGTCATAGCGACATTCCAGCTTTACTGGTGGAAGAAGACCTCAGGTGCATCAGGAATCACAGACGTTCTGTAAGCTAGCTGGATAGGTTCCTCAAGATAAGACGGATTCGAACCCACGAGGATGAGGGCAAATGGTTTGAAGTCAATGACCTTAACTACTCGGCCATGGATACCCAACAGGTGTGTAATAAAATAAATATAAACTAGTGAGTTTAAAATATGCTCTAGTGAATTTATTTTATCTAAATATTTGTATATAATAATATCTAAAAATAAAATCCACCTGAAGAAACTGTTGTGATTCTTGTTTTGCTATGGCTTACAACCAATGTCACAGTAAAAGTTTTCCTTTTTCAACATTTCTGGTTTTGTCGTTTTCACAAGTTTAGGCAATAAATTTGTCCAGAAGTTATAACCCCTTTCAAATAATCGCTGTCCGACCGACATCTCCCTACTTATGTTGAGGTAGAGTTGACTTTCTAAGGTATATTCAGGCCATTCCATATTGATGCGCTCTGGCTTGTTTGGATTACTGTATCAAAAGGAGATCATATAAGTTATAAAATACATAACTATTGACAAAATCTAGTATATTGAATAAGTAGTGTTCTCACATAAATTAATTGAAAGTCCAGGACGGGATACGAACCCACATCAGTGAGGGGCAAGTGATGTTGTAGTAAGCGACCTTATCCGGAGGCACATAAGATAGCTTTGAAAAAATGCTATAAAGGAGTTTGTTCCTTTATAAGGTTAACATAAATTCCATCATTCAGTTTTCATTCCGCCTGTATAACTATAGTACACTAAAGAATAGAGAACTAGAGAATACGCTTTTTAAAACATTTTCATTACCAAGTGAATGCAAAACATATAACGGGATTTAATTTAATCCGTAGACATTTAATAGAATATAAAAATAAAACTTTCGGAGGAGGTTTTATACTTAACCCGCTTTTTGCGAAGTTTGTCCACATCTTGATCACATCTTTTGAGAGTTCTATTTCCCATTTCTGTGGTTCAATCCCATAAGGACTTGTTGCGCTAGTATATCCGTTCTCCGAATCGTACCCTAAAATAAACACCCATTCATCAGCATGTACTGAACCTCCTTTCCACGTGGATGGTACCCACAAAAGATGCTTGGATGAAACCGCATTAAAAAGGTACAGAAATGTTTTTGATTTATCATTATTTTTAGCATGTATCTTCGTTATGTCAATAGTGTGGCTGTTGAAAACATAATCAGAACTCAGACGTATAAAAGATTCGTAAGAAACGCTCAGTATCGTCAGGGTTGTTCCAGTCCGTGTATTCAAAACTAACAACAGAATTTATAATATCTGGAATATAGTCACCAAACATAAGTCGCATGGTTTCTGGAATATACTTGTTTTCCAGTTGTAACCTGTCAACAGAAAATGTGTCTGTGTTATCAAACACCTACAGCTGGAGTTTTCATCATGAAACCTTCGTCCTCCGTAAGGCCCGTCATTACATCAAAGCTGCGGAAAAAATCTCGCCTGGCTTTTGCTATATCTGAATCGCTATGCATTAAGTCCCAAGAAGATAATGGAACGAAATCGTTTGTCAACAGAAACAACAAAGTCCAAGGAAATTTTCTGAAGCCATTCAGTGGATTATTCATTACTTTCATATACTCTTCATCGGGAATATTTTCTTAGACAAGATGCAAGTTGGAAGGTTTCTACGTCAGTTGGACATCCTACTAGATTAGCTATACGTTTGGCATTTTGTAATGAATCTCGCTGATAAACCCATGGGCATGTTACGCTCCCACTCTGGGGGATAATTCTCTTAATCAGTCCTTTATTTCCTGGATACATTGCTTGGAATATCACACTTGCCCCGCCTGCCGAACCTCCAAATAATGTCACTTTATTAGGGTCTCCACCGAACGCTGCAATATTTTCGTGAAACCCATCGAATAGCCATATGTTGGTCCCAAAGGCCGTAATTTCCGGGTAAATTTGAATCACCGGTGCTCAAAAAATCCAAATAAGCCTAACCTGTAGTTAATACTTACAACAATAACGTTACCATATGTACTTTGTTATATGTCCAGGATACATAGTAGATGTCCCTATAGCAAAACCTCCACCATGGATCAGAATCATTACAGGCAACTTACTATTACCGTCTAGATTATCCGGAGTGGAAAAGATATTTAACACGAGGCAGTCGTTAGATGACTCCGGTAAACCAGTTTCTGATGCTGGTTTCCGCTCACCTAAAAAATCCATATGCATCTGTAAACACGAGGGTCCATATTTTGTGGCATCATACACTTCATTCATTTTATGTTTCATTTTAGGTTTCTCAAAACGAAGAGCACCTATAGGTGGCTCGGCATAAGGTACTCCGAGAAATTGTCGTACACGAAGAGGATCTCCAAACGGCTCGATTGTCCTCACGTGTACCTCTCCCTTTATAGAACCAATTTTTGTTTCAACAGTTATCTCATCCATCGTCAACGAATATCTTATAAAAAAAATCATTAAAATTGAAAAAATTATTTTCATTTTGATTAAAAAAATATCAATTTTGAACATTTAATTCTTTCAAACAATTAAAACAATGATATTGAGAATAAATATGCACTGAAGCAATCAAGAATATCACTGTGTAAATAAAATAATAGGTAACATTTTCAAACAGATTATCTGTTTATCTTATACTTGATGCACACTTTACGGCTTATCTGTAAGAATATAGGTCGTACTTGCATAGAGAAGAGACTGTTGCAATGGGAAAGAAAAGATATTTTCCTTCTACATCTACAGATGTGCACGCTCAAATGCTCGTATCTTTATGACCTCTTGGGACATAAGGCAAATAAAACTTGTGCATCAAGCCCAATCACATTGTATTTTGCATGAAATATTAATAACAAAAATCTGAATATATCAGCAAAGACAATCAAAAATACTGCCACCATAGCTTTGCCATATGGGACTTTAAATATTTTATATATTTAAAGGCATGGGCCCAATATCACATGACCAAATGTGTGAATATCACAAGACAAAATGTATGAATCACATGACTAAATAAATGAATATCACATGACCAAATGTATGAATATCAGATGACTAAATGTGTAAATTCCTATCACAAAATGAAATATGTGAATATCACAAGACCAAATGTAGGAATATCAGATGATCAAATAAATATCACATGAAAAAATATGAATCACATGACAAAAAATGTATGAATATCACATGACTCAATAAATGAATATTACATGACTAAATATATGAATATCACAAGGCCAAAAGTATTTGCTGTCTAGATTTTGCTACACAAAATGTTTTATTTTTAACACAACTATGTTTTGAAGCTACCTGCATGAATTTATCACACAAGCTATTACACACGAGTGTAATTAAGCCATTTAATTCCATACTACACTAGTGCAGTAACTTTGTACAACTGCAGGAGTATGAATCTAGCTCAAACAATGTTGTGCAGTTTACTTCAAATGGTGAATTGAGCAGGGAAGCTCTGAAATCAGTAGAGAAATGGGTGGAGTCTTTTGCTATAAACAACATCAAATTGTATCAGCAGCGATACATGCAGCTGCACATTCACATTAGAAGAGTAAAATTAATGAAACACGATAGAAGAGTAAAATAAATGAAACAAGATAGGTAGAGATTAGTCATAGAACAGGAGAGTAAAGGCAATGAAACATGATAGGAGAGTAAAGGCAATGAAACATGACAGGAGAGTAAAGGCAATAAAACATGACAGGAGAGTTAAGGCAATGAAACATGGCGGGAGAGTAAAGGCAATGAAACATGATAGGAGAGTAAAGGCAATGAAACATGACAGGAGAGTTAAGGCAATGAAACATGACAGGAGAGTAAAGGCAATGAAACATGATAGGAGAGTAAAGGCAATGAAACATGATAGGAGAGTAAAGGCAATGAAACATGATAGGAGAGTAAAGGCAATGAAACATGATAATGGAGTAGTCATTGAAACATGACATTAGAGTTAAGGCAATGAAACATGATAGGAGAGTAAAGGCAATGAAACATGATAATGGAGTAGTCATTGAAACATGATAGGAGAGTAAAGGCAATGAAACATGATATGGAGTAGTCATTGAAACATGATAGGAGAGTAAAGAAATGAAACATGACAGAATGGTAAAGGCAATGAAACATGAAAGGAGAGTAAAGGCAATGAAACATGATAGGAGAGTAAAGGCAATGAAACATGATAATGGAGTAGTCATTGAAACATGATAGGAGAGTAAAGAAATGAAACATGACAGGAGGGTAAAGGCAATGAAACATGAAAGGGGAATAGTCATTGAAACATGATAGGAGAGTAAAGGCAATGAAACATGATAGGAGAGTAAAGGTAATGAAACATGATAATGGAGCAGTCATTGAAACATGATAGGAGAGTAAAGGCAATGAAACATGATAGGAGAGTAAAGGCAATGAAACATAGTAATGGAGTAGTCATTGAAAACATGATAGGAGAGTAAAGGCAATGAAACATGACAGGAGAGTAAAGGCAATGAAACATGACAGGAGAGTAAAGGCAATGAAACATGATAGGAGAGAGTAAAGGCAATGAAACATGATAGGAGAGTAAAGGCAATGAAACATGATAGGAGAGTTAAGGCAATGAAACATGATAATGGAGTAGTCATTGAAAAACATGATAGGAGAGTTAAGGCAATGAAACATGATAGGAGAGTTAAGGCAATGAAACATGACAGGAGAGTAAAGGCAATGAAACATGACAGGAAAGTAAAGGCAATGAAACATGATAATGGAGTAGTCATTGATATATGACATTAGAGTTAAGGCAATGAAACATGTCAGGAGAGTATAGGCAATGAAACATGATAGGAGAGTATAGGCAATGAAACATGATAGGAGAGTAAATGCAATGAAACATGATAGGAGAGTAAAGTCAATGAAACATGACAGAGGTGTCAAGTCAATGAAATATGATAGAATTAAAGATAATGAAACATGACAGGAGAGTAAAGGCAATGAAACGATAGGTGGAGATTAATCGGAGAGTAGTCATTGAAACAGGATAGAAAGAGATAAATCAATGAAACATTTAGGAGAATAAAGTTAATGAAACACAACCGTGGAATATTGTTCATGAATTAAACAGGAGAGTAAAGGCAATTAAACATGATGAGAGATAAATCATTGAAACAAGAGTAAAGGCAATGAAACATGGTAGGAGAGTACAGCCAAATGAAACATAAAAGGAGTGATTAATCAATGAGACATAATAGGAGAGTCTCAGCCAAAAAAATGGGCATAATTCTGTCAGAATGCTTGATACAGTGACCTACTCCTGTGAACAGGTTGGGGCCTGTTGGTTAACAAGTATGTCAAGTTTTAAAGTCATATGTTGATGGACTATGAAAATATTTTAGGTGGTATGCAAACATTAAAGTAATTCTAAGTCAAAAAGGGGCATAATTCTTTAAAAAATGCTTATAAGTTTAAAACCCCCCTTTCCCGTGTACAGCTTGGGGGCAAAGTTGGTTTTAAAAGTGTTAGGAGAGTTTTAAATCAAAGAAAATGATAGGAGGGGTAAAGGCAAACGAAACAAAGATTTGGAGAGTTTTAAACCCCATTAAAATATTAAGATTGTATGTTTTTTGTAAGGTATTTATTGATCATGTGGAATGCTTTCATTTAGTTACACAACAATCTATGACATAAATCTTTTTATTATAATCAAGTCTTCATGTCAGTATCATCTTCTGTTTCCCCACTTAATTTAAATGCAAGTCTGGTTAAATGCCGTCTGCGAACTCTCTGTTTACATGAGGGACAGAGTTTATCCCCCTCAAACACTTTTCTCCAACAGTCCATACAACAAATATGTTCACACTGAGATATAAATGGTAACTTAGCAGACTTCTCACATGAACAGCATGTATATCCTGAAATGTGAAGTAAAAACACTGATATTTGGACAGTTAATAAATGATAGAAGCCTGTTCCATTGTAAGCATTAAAATAAGCTTATACAGTTTCTAAAATGTATTATATCAAAGTCATGATAGTATGATTACAAAGATTCAAGAAATGAAAATCTTTTTACTTGATGTTACACAGTTGCTATGGATACTATGATTCCAATACTTATTATACATATTTAAGGTCTGAAAAAAAAACCAACATAATTTGAGCCACGTCGCTACAAAACCAACATAGTGCGTTTGTGACCAGCATGGATCCAGACCAGCTTGCGCATCCGCGCAATCTGATCAGGATCCATGCTGTTCACATCAGTTACCCTACTTGTAATAGGGTTGGTAAGCAAACAGCATGGATCGTGATCAGACTGCGCGGATGCACAAGCTGGTCTGGATCCATTCTGGTCGCAAATGCACTATGTTGGTTTTGTCATGACACAGCTCATTTGTTGTTCTAGTTTTATTGGTACTCTCCAAACTAGCATGTAAACACTTTTTAAAAGATTATTACAATACCCTTTATATAAGACATTTTGCTTTTTAAGTTATTTTTTATTTTGTTTTTGGGTTAAAAAATATCTCAGTAGTTGGGCCGGGGCTAAAGGTGACCCTTTGTAGGTGAAATAGTCACAGCATAAACACTATTTTTGTTTTATTTACTTTAGGGAGTCCTAAAACATGGGGAAAATTTTTAACCCCGAAAACCTGTTTGGGCCAAAAAATTTTGGTTTTTTTAAAACCTTTTATTTTTTCCCCTAGGTGAAAATTGCGGGAACTTTTAAATCAGTCCCAAGGGGTTTTTAAAATCTGAAACCCGTCTGACGGGCTTTTTCTTAAATTTTTTTCCCCTTGGGGGGCTTTATTTCCCCCTTTTATTGAGGTAGATGGTTTTTATGTTTACTATAATTCCCTTGTCGGGGCCCGAATTTTTTCTACTATGTCTTTTGTATTTTTTTGGGAAAACAAACAAAGAAATACATTCAAAGGAAATAAACAAATCAATAAAATTAAAAGAAGCTTGTTGGGCTTTTACAATGGTATTATAATTTTTTTTATATTTCCTATGGTTTAACATATATTTTGTTACAAAGCACAAAGATCATAAAATGACTGAACATTAGCTATATTACCAGACTCATTACCCGACTGTATCGAGCTAATGAACTAAATGTGAAGACAAACAATAAGACATCAGCATACCATAAAAATATTATAACTGTTTGCCAATACTGGCATGCGAGCAGTTCCCGTACAAAAATCATAGTTTCTTAAACATTATTTTTTATTACGCTCACTCACCAAAGTTTGAATTTTACACATTAATACTCGGCTCGTCACACAAATCATGGAAATTCCATCATGTTCTAAACATAGAATAACCCTTACTATTGAGGCCTCATATGGGGTACCCCAAAATTTTCTTTAAATTTTTTTAAGAAAAAAGTAGTTTCCCCAATAAAAAATTTAACCCCTTTTAAAATCCCTTTTTTTAATTTTCGCCCCATTTTTCATTTACAATTGTTGAACAGACCATTATCTAAGAGATAAATAGATGTAATTCAGGAAATAGAAAATAGACTAAACGCGTATATCTATTACCCAGTACCGTTACCCCCAACACATTCACATGCGATGGCATGCTTGTGTGCATGATATTTTACGCATCAAAGCCATAAAATTATTTTATATAGTAATATTGGTCAAAATTCTGATAATTAAACAAGTTTTCATCACATTGCCTACTTATTTGTAAACAGGTGGTATTAGTGGAAAACCCTTTAACAAGCCTCACGTGTAAGTATTTTTGCGCATGCGCGCAAGAACGGATTCCCTCAGAGAAAACAAGGTCACGTTTTGACGAAGCACAGGTGAAAGTGATTTAAAATGAGACTTATTATACGTACTGCCGAACTGTCGCTTAGATTTTGTCTCGTTTATGTATCTGCTTGATTTGAAATGAATTTTTGAAGAATGCAAGTAAAAATCAAGCGTTTAAATGAAAAATATGGGTACTGCTTCTGTACGGGAACTGCTCGCATGCCAGTAGGGGCACCAAGTTTGGGAAGAATTATCACTGTGACACATATTTGATTATGGTGGTTAATGGCTGTAATTAAAGATGTAGCCCGCAAGTTACAAAACAGGTTCATCCGTTATGTAAAAAGACACAGGTCAAGATGTTTATGCAATTTTATCAAAACCAGAACGATTCATTTCATTTTCGCATTCCTAAATATACTACTAAATACAGCTGGTAAAATACAGTGTTTTCTCCTACATGTGCCAGAAATATCTCGTAAATTTAAAACAAGAAACATGGCAATGCCATGAAACCAGGTTTTCAATTATCACCATTGTAGATAAATATGTTGTATTTGAAATACAAATACAAGCAACAAACAATGTAACTATGTGCAATGTAAAACATGAATAATGTAGGAGGAATTGCCACAGAGGAAGTGTTCACTATAATTATATTCTGTATAAGGAAACTAGAACTCCGCGAGTCGGATGTGTCGCCTTGTGAACAATGTAGTTTAGGAGAAATGGCCAGGACAAAAATGAAATATGAAAAATAACAAAGGGCAATAACTAAAAAAATAATAAGTGCAGAGCAGCAGTTTCTGTGCACTGCACTTCTTATCAATAAGATCTATCATTCTATGATGTTTCAAGTCCATAGCTTTCATACTTGAGGAGAAATGACAAGGACAAAATTAAAGTATGAAAATAAACAAAGGGCAGTAACTCAAAAAATAATAAATGCAGAGTACCTGTTCTTGTGCACTGCACTTCTTCTTAATAAGACCTATCATCCTATGAAGTTTCAAGTCCATGGCTTTTATACATTAGGAGAAATGGCCCGGACAAAAATAAAGTATGAAAATTAACAAAGGGCAATAACTCAAAAATTAGGAAGTGCAGAGTACCTGTTCTTGTGCACTGCACTTCTTCTTAATGAGATCTATCATCCTATGAAGTTTCAAGTCCATAGCTTTTTTAGTTGAAGAGAAATGGCCCGGACAAAATTAAAGTATGATAAACAGGATTTTCAATGTTAATGTCACTGTGACCTTGACCTTGGAGCCAGCCATGCGGAACATGCGTTCTGCACGTCATCTTGATGTGGTAAACATTTGTCTGAAGTTTCATCAAAATTCTTCAAAGGGTTGAAGAGTTACAGAGCGAACAGGATTTTCAATGTTAATGTCACTGTGACCTTGACCTTGGAGCCAGCCATGCGGAACATGCGTTCTGCACGTCATCTTGATGTGGTAAACATTTGTCTGAAGTTTCATCAAAATTCTTCAAAGGGTTGAAGAGTTACAGAGCGGACAGGATTTTCAATGTTAATGTCACTGTGACCTTGACCTTGGAGCCAGCCATGCGGAACATGCGTTCTGCACGTCATCTTGATGTGGTAAACATTTGTCTGAAGTTTCATCAAAATTCTTCAAAGGGTTGAAGAGTTACAGAGCGGACAACAATTTCGTTTGACGCCCGCCCATCCGAATTTTCAATGTTAATGTCACTGTGACCTTGACCTTGGAGCCAGCCATGCGGAACATGCGTTCTGCACGTCATCTTGATGTGGTAAACATTTGTCTGAAGTTTCATCAAAATTCTTCAAAGGGTTGAAGAGTTACAGAGCGGACAGGATTTTCAATGTTAATGTCACTGTGACCTTGACCTTGGAGCCAGCCATGCGGAACATGCGTTCTGCACGTCATCTTGATGTGGTAAACATTTGTCTGAAGTTTCATCAAAATTCTTCAAAGGGTTGAAGAGTTACAGAGCGGACACAATTTCATTTGACGCCCGCCCATCCGCCCAGCCGCCCATCCGCCCGTCATACCCCAATCTAATAACCAGGATTTTCAAAATTGAAAACCTGGTTAATAAAATAATTATAAGGAACAAATATCATTCTCAGTTTTAAACTTACACTTTACATTAAATTTTAATATTGAGTAAATAAACATAAAGAAAACATATATTTGAAGTTTCATACCGAATTTGTACCATCCTCTACTTTAACACGCTTTGATGCACTCTCTACAAAAATGATTAAAAGAAATTTGTTTAAATGCTTAGTTTAAAAGCCAACCAGTAATGATACCTCAAGCAAACAATGTTATTTTTTAAGCATAAAGTTTAAGTCACATAATTATGTCAATTTTATAAAATGTCAAGAACAGTGACAAAAATTTTACATGAATACTGTATTAATGTTTTATTCTAGCTGTTTGGTTTAAAGTCACACTGTAATGGTCATCCAGGGATTTGCCAGCATTTCTGGTGTAGGAAGGCCTTAGATACTCTCCATGCATTATTTCAGGCGCAAGTGTAACTACTGACCTTCTTACAGCTCCCTACATACCTTCCTTACTTTAAAGTTTAAAACCCAATCTAACAAACATATCAATTTCTAACACAAAGATGAAAAATTATACAAAATATCTTACTTCAAGTGTGATTCATACTCATGACGTTATAAACATGAACTTAAAAACAATGCTCTTGACAACTGAGCAAATGAACCCATTCTCTAACCAACTGTTGTATTTGAAATTATCAAATGTATGTGAGCATGTAACTAATTATTGAACAACATGGTGACAGTAACATCTTACTTGAATGATCACTTTCTGGAAACATTGACATACAGGTGTTAAACATTTAATTGAAATGTATTCATAAGTAGAAAGATAAATCATAGATAAAGCGTACCATGACAGGCTATATAGTCCTGTAATCTTTTCTTGTTTACAGTGTCCTCTGCTTTATAACCTGTTGCTAACCCAGTTAGTTCCTGACACATTATGTGAAAATGCTCTTTATGTTTAGCCCTTACAAATCTGTAAAATTCTGGGGGAAAAAAGTGTCTTTTATCATAACTAAATAAAGAACAGTACGTGCTTAGTTTATGTTATAAATGACTGTTGTTTACATCATTTGCATATTGTGATAAGTCAGTGAAATATTTAATTGCAATGTTTTCTTCTTTACTTTTTTTATTTTCTGGTTGGGTTTAAATTAAAACTAGAAATGAAATGTTCACATGGCAACATATATTAAGCTTTTATATACATATATATATTTATAGAGAACCTAAAAAGATGCCCCTATGTGTCATATTTCAGAAACATGCGAAGACCAGACAAACCCCAAGTAGAACCACTGACCTTCTGTAAGCTAGCTTAATAGAATCCAAGTTTCTTGTGTTTTGTTGGGTTAAGTCACATCAACACTGTAAAAGTCTTACAATATTTTGCCAATAACATGAACAAACATGTAAAAAACCTTCTATAATCCGGAAACCTTTCTAATCCGAACTTTTCTTCTGGTCCGGACAAGTTCGGACTAGACAGGTTCCACTGTAACATGAAATATCGGAATAATGTAACTTTTATTATGTTTTACTTGCAAACAGATGATGTTTGGCTGTATCATCTGTGAAGAGTGTAGCCAGAACTTCTATAACTTTATCTATATCTTCAGTCTTCTTATACTCCACCAATGCTCGTGAGAACATCTTATAGGAATCTCCACTTAGTGTGCTCTTCACCTTAAATTGGAGATTTTAACAATAACACAAAATATTGAAGAGTTTCAATAGTTCTAGCATCTTATGTCTCTGGTTATATACAAGTATCAACAATTTTTATCCATACCAGATAATAAAGTCATCAAGCATTGGTTTTAACTACAAGTATATAGTACTCCCCAACAGGTACCTGGTAACAAAAGGGTTAATTACTCTGTATTAATTACAATCAAGACAGTTTTTTTTCTACCCATTGTTTTGTTTCAGCATTCTTTCTTTTCTACAGGCACAAAAAAACACACAAGAATATCATAGAAAACAGTATATACCTCTGCAATATAACTTTCAGCCGAGTTCAGATGTGACATTGAAACTTTAGAAGATACCTCTGTACTCTCCTGTATTATAGGTGCTGATTCACTGGCACGTTTCTGTTATAATATATAGACATTTATATTATTTACTGCTCCTGTAAAATCATTTTATTTCATGTTTAATTGTGTTTTATCTTCATTTTTTATCTTTGTCAGTACTTCAGATATTCAACTAAACACACTTAACGTATTTGATCATTGCTTTACTCTCAAGTACAGTGTTAGTCAAAAGAATCATCTCAAAAAAGGAAAAAAAAGAATATTCAAAATTTTGTTCTTTAATTAAATTGTGAAATATAAAAAAGCCCTGATCACATAAAGTGTAAAATGAAATATTTTGACAAAACTCTATTATGGAAAAGAATTCCTACAAGTGGTTTGCTTGTTTTTCAATCCATATATTGTATTGTAAAATGATACATATTTTGTAAATTTGCAAAATGTCTTGTTTGTTTATCTGTTTATTTACATCAACTTCAACATTTTAACCCTATCTTGTCAGCTGTTCTTCCAAAATGGATAATTAACCAGTAATTACAAACATACTACTAATTCCATACGATTTCTGAATCAGTGGTAAGAGACAGCTAGAGTCTATGACCCAGATCTATTGTCAGGGAGAAATTTCGCATTGCCTAATGATCAAACCCATCACAGCTGACTAGCAAATCTGATGTTCTCCCTTCTGAGCTAAACAGGCAGACAAATTAAACAACATAATTATGATATTTTTAAGCAACAACTAAGTTGATATGCCATGCTATAAAACTGAATATTGTTCTACTAACTTAATTTTTTATTTTCTTTTTCTTGTATTCAGGATGGAATGTTTTACCTTTATTACAATTTTCTTTTTACTTTGCTGCTTTCTTAATGCACCACTTGCTGAGCTTTGTTGTAAAGATGGTAACTGAAATATAAATTCATGCCATGTAAAAAAAATATTTTCATTATATACTAGTATCTAATTTTGTATATATATGTATACTCCATGTATTTCATGATTAAATGTTATCCTTAGTGCAGAAATGAAAAGATTGTGGGAGAAATGCTACTGTCTTTGATTTTTTTAATAATTAAAAATAGAAGTGATTTATTGACAAGAAGTCTCATCTGGAATATCAATTCAGCTTTCATTGATTAATGACTAGTCTGGGTCACACTTGATGCTTCTAGGTCTTGCAGTATGAGTCCAGATATTTTGGCAAGGTTTTACATCACACTGAGACACTGTAAAGGTCATATTGTAACTTTCCAAATTGCAACAACAATGCTATTTAACAAAGTGATAAACAAGATTGCATTTGAGAAAAATGCTATGCCACCGCATTAATACAACACTAAATAGTAGTGTAGGAACAGATTTTTTTGTTTCTAGACAATTTTGAAGATTGTCATAATGCATAGATCCCTGACCTATCTTATTCTTATTATCAGATTAGTGGTTAAATCTGTTGTTAACTCAATAAAAGATCAGAGTATGAATATATCAATGCACTCAAGTCTAGTGAATTTGGTGGTGAAGGTCATATTTCACACAGCCTAAATTTCATGACTTCATCAAAGGACAACACAGTAAGACACTTTGTCAAAATCTAGGTCAGATGAAATCAAAGTTCACTTTACATCTTAATCTGTGCACATGGTTCAAATTTCATAGCTGTACACCAAAGGACAAGAAAGTAGGTCACATCATCAAAATCTAGGTCACCTGATATCAAAGTTTAATTTTACAACAAAAACTGTACACATGGTCAAAATTTCATTGCTGCGCATCAAAAGACAAGAAAGTAGGTCACTGTCCCCTTGGGCAAGGCAAAATTTTGGACCCAAGAGTTTAATTCAAAACAATCTTGATACAGGTCCACGAAACAACATTTCAAGTCAAATATCAAAGCTGTAGCTTTCTCCCATTCAGAAAACATTTGTTTTATTTTCTGTTTTTACTATGTGTACATAATGAGAATCACTGCCCCCGGGCAGGGCCAATTTGACACCTTGGGAAAAATTTGAACAACTTTGGTAGAGGACCTATAGATGATATAATATAGCAAACATCAAAGCATCAATGCCTTGAAATTTCAGACAAAAATATTTTTTATTATTTTACTATATGTACATAATGAAAATCAATGACCCCCGGGGCGGGGACAATTTTGACCACAGGGCTATAATTTGAACAATCTTGGTAAAGGTTCACTTCGCAAAATCATATGCCATATATTTAACCTCTAGCCTTTATCAATTCAGAGAAGAAGATTTTTCAAGTTTTTGCTTTTTACATATAAGGAAAACTATCGCCTCTGGGGCAGGGCAATTTTAACACTAGGGGCATAATTAAAACAACTTTAGTAGAGGACCCATAGATGATATTATATACCAAATATCAAAGCTCTAAGCCTTGTACCTTCAGACAAGAAGATTTTTTAATTTTTTACTATATGTACATAGTAAAAATCAATGACCCCTAGGGGTGGGGCCAATTTTGACCCCAGGGCTATAATTTGTACAATCTTGTCAGATTATTATGCAAAATATCTAAGCTCTAGGCCTTTTGGGTCTTTACAAGAAGATTTTTTAAATTTATTCTTATAATTCCTTTTGGTTGCCATGGCAACCAGATTTCTGCATGGAATGAAATTCTTTGAACAACTTTGGAAGCCCTTCACCCAAGGATCAATCCTGCCAAGTTTGGTTGAAATTGGACTAGTGGTTTTTCACAAGAAGATTTTTTAAGTTCACTATATAATCTATATAACACACACACACACAAACAAACAAACACACACACACACACACACAGATGCTGCGGTGGCATAAAAATTTCCATGTTGCAGAAATTGTTAAAGTGGCATTACGTCCATCCAAGGATAAATAGCGAGGCTCATGTTAAACATTCTAACTTATCAAGTGTGGTTCAAGTGATGAAAAGAGAGGGGGAGTCTTTGATATTTTTAACAATTTTATATTTTACTCTTAATATCTTTTGCCATAACTTTTATAACTAGAACTATCACTAAATGTGATTAATACCCCCACAAGTCTGCTTCGGAAATGAGGATGTTACTAGTAACAGAATACCTTGTAAAAGAATTGAAACATAGAGTTATGGTTGTGGGCAATTAAAGATAATTGTGGTTCATGTATGTTGCATTTCCTTTCAATGTGGTTGGCCATTGATGAAGTTTAATTGAAATACTCTGTAATAAGTCCAGAAAGACAAAGAAAAAGAACAAAGGGCAATAACTCTATAAATACTGAAGATAGAGTTATAGTTCTTGCGCATTGCACTTCCTCTTATTGTGCTTGACCATTGTATGAACTTGTTTTAAATTCCAACCAGTACGTTTTAAGTTATGCTCTGGACAAGGAAAAGTATCAAAGGGCAGTAACTCTGTATTTTGTCAAAATGGAGTTATGGCTCTTGTGCACTGCACTTCCTTTGAATGTCCTTGACAACTGTATGAAGTTGTACTGAATTCCAAACAGTAGTTTTCAAGTTATGCTCTGGACAAGGAAAAGTAACAATGGGCAATAACTCTGTAATTAGTCAAGATGGAGTTATGGTTCTTGTGCACTGCACTTTCCCTTATTGTGCTTGACCATTGTATGAAGTTGTTTTGAATTCCAACCAGTAGTTTTCAAGTCATGCTCTGGACAAGGAAAGGTAACAAAGGGCAGTAACTCTGTAATTAGTCAAGATGGAGTTATGGTTCTTATGCACTGCACTTCCTCTCAATGTGCTTGACCATTGTATGAAGTTATACTGAATTCCAACAATAAGTCTTCAAGTTATGGTCCGGACAAAAGAAAGCAATGGAAAAGTAACAAAGGGCAATAACTCTGTAATTAGTCAAGATGGAGTTATGGTTCTTGTGCACTGCACTTCCCCTTATTGTGCTTGACCATTGTATGAAGTTGTTTTGAATTCCAACCAGTAGTTTTAAAGTCATGCTCTGGACAAGGAAAAGAATCAAAGGGCAGTAACTCTGTAATAAGTCAAAATAGAGTTATGGTTCTTGTGCACTGCACTTCCTCTCAATGTGCTGGACCATTGTATGAAGTTATAATGAATTCCGACAATTAGTCTTCAAGTTATGGTCCAGACAAAAGAAAGCAATGGAAAAGTAATAAAGGGCAATAACTCTGTAATTACTTTAGATAGAGTTATGGTTCTTATGCACTGCACTTCCTCTCAATGTGCTTGACCATTGTATGTAGTTAAATTGAATTCCAACCATTAGTCTTCAAGTTATGCTCCGGACAAAAAAAAGAAGGCAATTGAAAAGCAACAAAGGGCAATAACTCTGTAATTACTTTAGATAGAGTTATGGTTCTTGTGCACTGCACTTCCCCTTAATGTGTTTGACAATTGTATGAAGTTGTTTTGAATTCCAACCAGTAGTTTTCAAGTTATGCCACGGACAAGGAAAAGTAACAAAGGACAATAACTCTGTAATTAGTCAAGATAGAGTTATGTTTCTTACGCACTGCACTTCCTCTCAATGTGCTTGACCATTGTATGTAGTTATATTGAATTCCAACCATTAGTCTTCAAGTTATGCTCCGGACAAGGAAAATGCAACGGACAAAAAAAAAAGCAATGGAAAAGCAACAAAGGGCAATAACTCTGTAATTACTTTAGATAGAGTTATGGTTCTTGTGCACTGCACTTCCCCTTATTGTGTTTGACAATTGTATGAAGTTGTTTTGAATTCCAACCAGTAGTTTTCAAGTTATGCCCCGGACAAGGAAAAGTAACAAAGGGCAATAACTCTGTAATTAGTCAAGATAGAGTTATGGTTCTTGTGCACTGCACTTCCTCTCAATGTGCTTGACCATTGTATGTAGTTATATTGAATTCCAACCATTAGTTTTCAAGTTATGCTCCGGACAAGGAAAATGCAACGGACGTCTGGACCGACCGACCGACCGACCGACCGACCGACCACCGGGTGACTCCTATATACCCCCCCAAACTTCGTTTTTGGGGGTATAATAATTTGTAATATATAGTTAATTCTCCTCAACTTTACAGAATAAGCATAATGTTGCTTTAAATATACTTTCTTTGCATGAAGTGATAACTTGAACAAAATGCAGGAATTAAGTCATGTCTAATGGTGAGGGTGCAGTATAAAGTCACCAGTAAAAGTAGAACTCAAACCTGACACAACAATCATAACTTTATAAATACAAATTTGGTGCTGATGAATACTTTCTAGCTGGAAGTCAAAAAAAATATGAAATTTCTGGTTTGAATAGCCCAAAAATTATAAATTTTCAAGTTTGAAATGACAAAAATTATAAACGTTCCAGTTTGAAATGACAAAAATTATAAACTTTCTTCTTTGAATTGCTCAGAAGTTATAAACTTTCTAGTTTGAATTGCCCAAAAGTTATAAACATTCTAGCGTAAATTGCCAAATAATTTCAATTATACTCTGATAAACCAGATTTCTTCAATTTATCCAATGTTTATCAAAACTGCAATGTAGGCTTATAAAATTATTGGAACTATTTTTGCAATGCAACTGTCTGGATAAGTCCGACTTTAGCAACATTCAATACAGATACACAAACAGACCAGAAATATCTTACCGGTGATGTAGGCAATCTTTCTTCTTGACATTTCTGATAAATAAATCAAAATAACTTTATTATGGACACATTTTATAAAATTTAAGATATGTAGTTCAAAGACTTTTAGTCAAACAAGATTTTCATTTTGAAAGAAACCATTACCAGTTTATTAACCTAAACAATCAGATAAAACTAACTCCTTTGTTTTGCTATTTTGTTAACTAGTTTTGCTTTTTTGATTTATATGTATGATAATAAATTATTGTTGTTTAACTTTATCATATTTATTCGGTGATAAAAAACATAGATATGTTAACGGCCAATAGTGTTGAATAAAATCATTTACTTTTCTTCATGATCTTAAATCTGTCCTAATTTTAATAAAAGATAAAATAAAAGGTTCATTATCATTATTTCTAAATGAAGACATATTATTATGATCTCCATATTAATGATATAAAACAAACATACCTCTGAATGATCAAGAGCAGAAAACAAGCTTTTCTGTGATGATGATGAAGCTGACCTCCCTGCACTTTGATACTGTTCTCTTAACTTGTCATTACTAACAGATTCACCTGTCATATACACAATCAAACTTCATTGTGCTTCCAGATTAATTCAAATTTTTATGAAAATGAAGAAAATGTTTAATAAACTAGAAATGTGTCCAGGGATGAACAACCTTAATGTGTAGATGGTAGTAAAAGAAGGAATTTTTTTGACACGGGTGCCCCCACACTCCACCTATTTGTCAATCTTATGTCTCTAGGTCAAATAATTTTTTTGGCTACATGTGCCCAAGTTGAAAACTAAAAATCTTTTATAAAGTAAAGGGCAAATACTACAAATACTGAATAAATCCACAAGAAAACCCCAAGGTGCATAAGTACACATGCTGACCAACATTCTTGTAAACTTTCAGGCCTACAGGTCATAAACTTTTTGAGTTACGTGCAACACAAGTTAAATATTGTAAATTTTTACTAAGTCAAGGGCATTAACTCTAAAAATACTAAATATATCCACACAAAAATACCCAGGTGCACAACAACACATGCTGATCAACATTCCTGTAAGGTTTCATGACTCTATGTCAAATATTTTTTAAGTTACTTGCGACACAATTTAAGTTTAAGCAAAATCTGCCATCCGGTTTAAGAGGAGTTGCGTTCACAAGATTTCGGGACGTACGGACAGACGGACACTCGGACGGACAAGAGCAATGCTATATGCTCCCACTCTGTGGGGGCATAAAAATTGAAAAAAGTAAATTCAATCATATCTGGCATTAAATATACAAATCATCAAATGTACTGTGAATAATGAAGCAATTCTTTTTACTTTAAGACATATTTTATATTTTTGAATATTTATACACTTATATATGGGCATCTGATGTAATTTATTGAATGCCAGCTATGGCATTAATTTGTCTAGATGCCAGCAGTATAAAACCATGCTAGCATGCAAATCCATGAAATCTAGAGTTGATAAAATTAAGCTGCAATCTAACAGAAAGTCCACTGTATAAAAGCGAATAACTGAATACAGAATGATAAACAAATAACATAATTAAAAGGAACACAGAGTATTTTTAGGTCCACATTATCTGATATCTGATGAAGAAAGAACACAGGTATGCCTAAATATTTTAATGTCCCTCCTTTTATTAATATTAAACATTTCTACTAAAATTTGCAAGTCAACAATAAGACACATGAAAATTCATCTCAGTGACCTATACATTTGAAAACTGTAATACCCGCTCTAGATTCTGAAGAGACTTGCTATAGGGTAAACTATAATAAATAGTAACTAAACAATTGAAAATCTCAGATCAAATAGCATTTCAAATTAAAATAAAGTTATTGATACCTCTATGTTTTAAGCTTGGTACATGTTGCATCACAGCATGTGCTGGTTGAACACCACTTGGTCCGGCATGTCCTGATCGTGTAATAGTTGGCATAAAGTAAGCACCGTGAGAACTAGAGGACACTGACCTCTTGGGTGGTTTCGGAGCTGGCATCTGGCAAAACAAAACAAAATTTCTTCTGTATTTTCTGTCTTCATAATATCATATGATAAAAATAAATCTTATACTTGTCATTTACTATAGTGTTGCCAAGGGCAACATGTCCAGCCTGCAGTCACATCTGACCTTGAGGTTTGACTTTCTGCTTAAACCTAGTCAAACGGTTCTTGCTTGGACACATCATCTCATGATTGATTCTGAACATTTGTGCCAGGTTATTTGAAACTTCACCAGCTAGTGATAAAGTTATGGTGCAGACAAGCTATTTGAGACCATTTAATTTACATTTGACTTTAAAGTAATACCTTTACCTTTGACTAAGCCACATGGTTCTTGCGCATGACACAGCATGTCATGATGTTGAACATTTGTGCCAGGTTATTTGAAATTTAAACAGCTAGTGATAAAGTTATGGTGCTGACAAGCTGTCAGACCAAAATTTGCATTTGACCTTGAAGTAAGAACTTGACCTAGCCACACAATTCTTGGGCGCAACACACCATCTAATAATGTTAAATATTGTGCCAGGTTATTTGAAATTACAGAAGCTAGTGATAAAGTTATAGTGCAGACAAGCTGTTTGAGACCATTGTTTTGCATTGGACCTTAAAGTATGACCTTGACCTAGCTGCACAGTTCTTGGGCGCAACACACCGTCTCATTATTGTGAACTTTTGTGTTATTTGAAATTATGCCTACTAATGACAGAGTAACGTCCTGGACAAGCATAATCCACACACACACACACACACACACACACACACACGCACATACACTAAACTGCCATTGTGATAACTATGTCAAGCTCACCACAAGCAAGCTTGACATAAAACTTCCTTCACAAACATACCAAACTTGTTTACTCACAGCGAGTCAAATTCCTTACCAGTAAACAAAATTATTTTTGTTGGAATTTACTTTTATGACAAATATGTAAATGTTTTCTCTTTTATTTAAGAACATATCACAACTAGAACTTTATCCATGATATAGGGGGGGGGGGGGGGCTATGGATGCGTCTACATTCCGCTGTTTTGTACATCTACAGACTGACAGCATGATGGGCATAAAAACCTGGTTTTTTTTCCCTTTTATTCAGTTATATCTCAAGCAGCATCCATCATTTGTTTATTTCATATAAATGTATTATGGACCACACTTAATACCATTCATAATGAAAGTTCTACTGGACAGCTACAATATCATAGCATAATAGTAGAGTAAGAATTATACATAAAATAATTATTTCCATCCAAGGAATTATCAACGTGTACCATTTTCTCAGCTGTTTTAAAGAACACCATCACATCTTTGAGAGCTAAACCAAAGGCATCATACTTGTTTACATGAGGTCTGACCCACACTGGTAGTTGTCTCACCGCATCAGGATTGGCAAACCTGAAATATATAATAGCTTAAATGACTAGGGCAGTAAACTTTTGAAACATTTTGAAGAAAACATAAACTTTCTGCTGTAGTCTTATTCTTGGAACTAACATGTACATTGAAACTTTGTTCGCTTGAACTCGGATCGCCCGAATACCTCCCTTTGCTCGAACTCAATGCCCAGTCCCAGCAAAATTCCTACAAAATATATATGGTTCTACCTCGAATCGCTCGAACACCCATCGCTCGAACTCGCGAACCTGATCTCTGGTCCCTTTGGCAGAAATATAGTGTAAATCACACCTTTTCGGTTGAACACAAACAGACAACAAAAGTTGCGGGTCGGCATGTTCTAAATAATTGACAGTCGGCGACACATGATTTTAACACCTCGGGATCGTGACAAAGGCAATAATGGTTAATTGATACAAAATAAAAGGTGTTGTAACCAATTTGTTTGTTATGATAAAATTGTATATTTGTCGTCTTTAGTAACGATAAAAAGGAAATAACTCCTCAAATGCTCAAAAGTCAATAAATAAATGATGTTTACCCGGACAGCTTTAATTACAACCGTGGTTCATGTATCGTGAATTGTAACAGTGCAATCTATGTATAGAATGATACTTGTACCTTTGTTTAATTTAGTAAATGACTACAAATAGATGCTGCTGTAAAATGTTATTTTAATATTTTATTAATTCACTGCTTAAAATAAATTCATCCCATATAAAACATATAAATACATTTTGAACATTGTTCACAGTTTGGATAATGATGGCCCAATCAAACTCAACCAATTACAATATGCATGAATATAGATAAACACAGTGTACCGTCAATACTGTTTTCAAAAGGATAATAATTCTAAATATGTCGTATTCTACAAACAGGTGTACAAACAAACAATTATATTGAAGTTTTTATCATTTGACTGATGTAAGCTGGAAATCCTTTAGGCCTATGTTCTATGTAATAATAGTTCAACCTTGGTTGGCTCGAACTACTGATCTCTCCAACAAATTTGCACAGGCCCTTCGAGTTTGTGCGAACGAAGTACGACTGTATTTATGACATATGTAAAAATGAGTAGGTCCTCACAGCTGTTCATCCAAAGTCATAACATAACTTTACCTGGTATCACAGAGAATAATAGCACCAAAGTCTTCCTTATGTCTAATCACTCTGCCTATAGCCTGATTCACAGCCCTGGAAGCTTGTTGTTTGTACCATTCTTTCCCTGACAAACTCTGAAATCATGCAGAAATAACCGTTTTTCATGGTAGGCAAATTCAACAATCTCTATAATAATGAAAAACTTACATTCTCAGGCCATCCTTAAAAAAATCTTTGTTTGCAGTAACCCAACCCAGAATTTTCAAGGTGGGTAGGTAGGTCGATTTTATTTTTTTTTTATTGAATCGTACTCCCAAATAAACATGGAATTTCAAAATGCTGGACAATATATGCTTTGATAATCTGGTAACAATTAATAAATTGATAACTGAATTCTAATTTAATAAGACCTACATTTTATTTCTTCTATTAACCTTTAAAAGAACGAAAACAAAGCACAAGGCATAATTTTTTGATTCAAAAATATTTTTTTTTATCCAGACCATGAAAAAATTTTTTGAGTAGGGGTCGCGTTACTGCAAACAAACCTTTTTTTAGGATGGCCTCACTGGATGTTTCCCCTGCAAATATTTTGACAAGATATAAATTCATTACACAAACAGTGAAAAAACCCTACAAACAAAGAATATAAAATTTCAAAAGAGGGAAATAATTATATGTGTGAAATTACTCTACACTATTTGAAATTTAACAATAAAAGGTTTTCAACAATTTTAGAAAAATATGACAGACTAATGCACCAGTCTTTTGTTATGATTTACTTCCTTCATAAGAAAAGTGTGGGCAAATCAACCAGGTTTTAACCTTTAGACAACGCTTGACTAAGACGGAATATGGATAGATTTTCATCTCACTTCTAAATGGAGAAACTAGCAACATTTTACTATTGCATTGTTTTTGCCACAGTGAGTAAACTTTTTGAAGGAATTCCTGTGGCCATGTTAAAAGTCACTGCTCTTCTCTAGATGTGGAAGCATGGATAGATTATAAATGAAGATCATGAGCATGCAGATTATAAATTATTTGCTTACACAGCAAAATTAAGATACAAAACCTTTATTTAATAGAAAAAAAACTAATTCTGAAATTTCATCCAGTGGTTTCATATTATTTTAAGCAATTTTTTCATCAAAATTTATAGTAAGGACAGAAGTTTATACTCACCTGAAATCCTTTTTCCTTTCTCTCATCAAGTACTGCATTTTTAGGACAACTTTAGGGTCAAGGGGTAAGGTGGGTAAGGGAGACCTGTTAAAAAACTACAGCCCTTCCATTTATATCAGAGAAATCCAGGCCCTCACTAACCTAAACAAGGCAAATAAAAAACTAATATTTGACATGCAAGCTATCTCTTTGTCTCTAAGTGTTTGGAAGCCTTAGAACCACACACACAAAACACACAAAGTATCATCCTTTTTTTTGTGCTTAAAATCAATTCTTCTTTGATCTTGTTTGTTTGAATAGATTTTATTTATTTTATGTGTTATGATTTTCTGAATCAGCCATAAGAACAAGATTACCATTAGACTCAGTGTTTCAAAGATTAGCTGTAACATGTAGAGTAGTGAAATCTTTTTTTTTGAAATTTCATTTTTTTTTTTACAATAATAGGCACTTAGGTGTTAAATAGGAAATATGAAACAATATATACCTTTCCTCTACAGACAGCTATAAAAAATCTCCATTCAGAGACGTCGGGTCATTGATTCTTACTTGTAAAAGTCATTCATTCAACTGAAAAAAATAATCAACAAAGTTTTACCATAATTTCAAATACCATGACAGAACCAAATATCAAAAGACAAGAGAAAGGCTGTTAAAAAAACAGTTGCAAGAAGATTCATAATCAAAAACAAGTTCTGATTGAATTAAATTCTTGAACAATTTTAAAGTTACTACCAAAGGGGAACATTCCTGTGAAGTTTTTGGATGAAAAATTGGCCTTAGTGGTTTATGAGAAGAAAGATGTCGTTAAAGTAAAATTTACAGGCGGACGCCGAACGGATGCCAGAATGAAAAGCGAAACAAAAGCTCACCATTTCACTTCGTGACAGGTGAGCTACAAACTAAACTTACATCATTTAGAAACCTTTGGGACCTTGACCTCTACAAAAAATCTGTTTGTACTGTTCATCCTTGTCATATGTTTTTTCTAATAAAATAATAAATAGTAAATAACTTTCATTTCAGCCACAAATGGACTTTTTAAATACAAAATAACTTTTTTAATTTCAATCTAGAATTTATCAAATCAATCAAACCATCAAATAAGCTTTATGTTTTTGTTGGAAAAGATTAGGATAGAATGTGCCACAGTAATTTAATCCTTTGTATAATTATGTTTTAAACATTATATAGTCCATGCACACTGAAGATTCTGTTTATTAAATTATATGGCACAACAGTTATAAATATAACTCAGCTAAGACTAAGCCCTTTTTACTATTTCAAAAAGGGGTAACTCTGTAAAAAATGAACTCAAAGTTATGGGAACCTGTGTTTTTGCAAGCAAAAACTGAGCAAAGTGTGATGATGATGATGACACCCACCTTCAAGTATCCTTCCAAATATTTCAAACCAAAATAGTAAACTTTTACATTCCTTTACTCTGCTAAACTTGTGTATTGACAATTAGATAAACTTGAATTTAGAACAAATTCATTGTGCATAAAAGTGATCATAACATAAAATTAATCTAAATGCCCCAAGCTGAACATACATTGAGAATATGGCAGTCTGAAAATTAAAGAGCTTTTATTAGTATAAGTGTCATATGAGGAACATGGTTGTGGCCATGAGGGCCTTGAACCCAGCTCAGTCCCCAGGCTTGACAGTAGTTTTTGGTGATATAATAAGTCAATATAGCTGCTACCACATCATGGGTAAACCAAATACTTTGCAAATAACTTGACAAAAACAGAACAATCTTATATTAATTTGGTCAGATCCTTTGTCTTGTAAAAATGTTATCTCACCTTCCAATGCTTTTAAGACATTTTCCATATAACAGGATAGGAGGGGAAAAAATATCAGAAAGTCTCATTGGGAGTGACCCGAGCAAGGTTACTGAAACAAGAAATATAGTTATTTATTAGTATCTATTATAATATCAATAGTTTATAGAGTTATTTGTTTATATAGTTAACTGGGGAAGCTGGACAAGTCTATTTTAAGAAATTCAGCAGGCCAAAGGTATATTTAAAAGTATGCTAATGTTGACAGAAATAAAAATATTTGTACACACCTATACAGTTTTCCCAGAGAAGACTGGTAAGAAGGATTGAATCTGTAAAAAAATTGAAAAAGAAAACGACAATGTCTAAAATGGTTCTACTGTTTTAATTTAGAATAATTTCACTCAACATAAAATCTATGTATTTCAGAGTAAGTAACCACTGATACCTTTTAAAATATCTTTGCCTTGTAAATTTATCCCCCTTAAATAGCTTGAATAAACAATAAACACTTAAATTCCACATATAATCCATCTTTACTTTAATATGTTTG